AGCTGTCTTTTTTTCCAATACTAACATTCAAGCTGCAATTCTCCCACTTCTCCTGCTTCAGCTACAGTCTGCAATTTCTGGTATGTTGTTTTCATTGTTCTTGAAGTTTAAAATGCTTCTGAATTTTTCTTTTATTTTTTTCCTGACTTATATTAAATAACAAGCTATTTTTAATTTCATTTCAACCCCTTGGCACTTTAGCTGCACCTCTCTGCATTAATATTCAATGGTTCCCCTAAGGTTAATATTCATCTTGAACTGATTTTCCGAGTCTGCGTTTAAACTTTGTATTGCTTGTGTATAACATAAACCCACGCACAGCCTGTTTTTGTACTGGCCCAATAGTGTCTTCTACCAATTCTGCCTCTCCCATAGTTTGGTATAAAATGCAGTCTGGGGCTGGCCAGGTAGCTCAGCAGGTTACGGTGCATGCCACCACTGGCAACCTGAGTTCAGGCCTTGGGCCTGTATATGGTAGGAAAAACCCACTGAGAAGTAGTCCCCTGACACTGAGCTCCACAGTGTGGCTGGCAAGTTTACACACAGTGAACAGATGTAACAAAAATGAAATGTATCCTGGTTTATCTTTTCAGTAATGAACCAGACGTTGGTTTTTAATAACCCCTCTCCCTCGTTTTATTGGTAAAGAAGGAATACATTCTTAAGAATTTTTTTGTTTTGTTTTGTTTGAGAGTTTCACTATTTCATGCAGACTGTCCTCCAGGCCCTGGATTCAGGCGATTAGTCCTTCTACCTCTGCTTTTCCCACTGCTGGAGCTAACAGCAGGAGCCTCTGCACATGGCTTGATTCTGCTTATCATTAAGCATGTCTGTTGCAGACTTCCAAGAACCTTACAAAGTAGTTTTAAATGGTTGGCTTTTATGTTTTGTTTTGCAGACCTTGTACAAATACCCGTTTTTAAGATGTTGAAACCCATTACCAATTGAACAGGTAATCCTCCCCTGAGCATCGAATCCTGGTCAACTTCTCAATGTATCCAACTCTGGTCACCATATTGAAAAGTGCAGCTCACACTTGCTACTCCTGTCTCCCACACTAGAAATGAGTTTTTGGTAATTAGGGCTCTTTAAAAGAGTTGTGGTGTTTTTAGTTTTTGAAATTATATTACTTCCTCCCTTTCTTGTCCTCTTTCCCCTTAGTCTTTCAAATTCATGGCTGTTTTATGTCTGTGTATATTCCTAAATATATAAGTAAATCTGCTCAGCCTGTATGTTATTTATACATGTATGTATGCTTGTACAGTATCATTTGGTATTGTGTAACCAACTGGTGTGTTCTTCCCCGGGGAAGACTATTTTCCTGATCTCAACATTCCTTAGTTGCCTGTAGTTTTTTTGTTTTTGTTTTTTAACTAGGGTTGAGGCCTTGTGAACTTTCCCCCTCCCATGTTAACATGTCGTGGTGTTGTTCTTGTTCAGTTCATGTTTAGGCAGTTATGTTCATGAGACTTCATGGACATATAGCTTCTGTGGCATCAGGCTCCTTGTATTTTCACTGATATAATCAAGTGTGTGGCATATATTGGGTGGTTAGAATTTGTTGAAATAGTGACTATCATTTCTACTTAGTTGTTTCATGGGCGTGTCATTACTGCATTCCACTGTTTCCTAAATACTATCATTCATCCCCCCAGGACTCATACCAGAAGTATAGCTTGTATGTCCTCATAATCTTGTATTTATTCACAGTTCACTCTGCTACGGACCATGTTAAATAACCCCTGCCTGTTGCTGGAGTTATCTCCAGTCCCACTCGGGCCCGCAGCCACTCACTGTAGATATTTAATTTATATATGGTGATATTTTATTTGTATGTTAACAAAGTTGCCTGGAGATCAGAGGTCAAAGTGAGCCATAAGCAGAGTCAGGCAGTGGTGGTAGCACATGCCCTTAATCTGATCACATGGCAGGCGGAGTCCCCGTGTGGTCAAGGACACAGCCAAGTGTGGTAACACGAACCTTTTTTTTTTTTTTTTTTTTTTAACACGAACCTTTAATCCCAGTACCAACCAGAGACCTGGAGGTCTGTCTAGACAGGCAGTGATGAGGAAGTCATGTGGTTGGGTTTAGAGCCAATGAGAAGGCAGAACAGAAAGGCAATTAAAAACACAAGTCAGGCAGGAAGAGGTCTCTCTCTCTAGGGAAGCTACTTCTGGTGGTAAGCTAAAGCTAGCCGTGGCTACTGCTCTGATCTCTTTGGCTATTTCCTCTGTATTTGGCTCTGTGTTTCTTACTAAGACTGTTTAGAATTTCGTCTACACCTGCCCTTCACCTCTCAGTGAAGCTTGTATTGAGGGAGAGAGGTATTAAATAAGGCTATCAAATAAAGGTGATTGAAAATAAAGGCAGAGAGGAGTTAGTGGGCAAAAAGGACCTCTATTTTGATTGGTAAAGGCCCAAGGAGAGTGAAGGGAAAGTCACATAGAGTGGGAGTGATCCTCAGCAGAAGTCGCAGCAAGTGTGAAACATCCCCAAGTTCAAAGAGAATATAAACTCGCCTATCTGAAAAGCCACTATAGCTTTCTCTCCTCACTGCCACGGTTTCGGAGGGCCTGTTTTCCATCCCATAATACACACTTTTCACCTTTACAAATTCAAGTTGGACCATTGTTATTCTTCTCATGTATCTGATAATGTCTGAACATATATGATTGCAGTTTTAACTGTTCTCTGCTAATTTTATAATCAGTGTTAGTTTGGGGCTGGTCTCATTTCACTGCTCTTGGTCCATTTCCTACTCTGACCCACATAGCAATTAAAAAGATTCCTTCTAATTATGTATATGCATTGGTCTGTGTGTGGCTATGTGCACCTGTGAGCCCGTAAGTGCTGTCAAATCCCCTGGATCTAGACTTACAGGGAGCCTGACATGGGCGCTCGGAATTGAACTTGGGTCCTCTCCAAGAATAGTATGTGCTCTTAACAATTTTTGATTGGCCACACACTGGGAACTTTATTTGCTGGGTATTAGATATTTTTGTTATTTCTATAAATATTCTTTCTCTAAAAGGCTGTTACAACAGTAACAGTTTGAACCTATGTGAAACAGGATGGCATATGTGTGGACAGAAAGCAAAGGGTCCTGGAGGATCGGAACTAGGGCCAGAGACGAGCTTACCAGTGTTAGAACAGCAGATTTAAACAAGAAGCAAAAATGAAAGTAACCATGCCAGGCAGTTGTATCACAAGCTAAGTCATTTCTGGAAGAGGGAACATCAATGAGCACACACTCCACCCCTTCCCCACTATGCCTGTGGTGCATTTTCTTGATGTGGGAGGGCCCAGCTCACTGTGGGCTGTGCCACCCATGGGCAGGTGGTCCTGTGATGTACAGGCAAGCAGGCTGAGCAAGCTGTAAGGAGCAAGCCAAGTAAGATCAGTCCTCCAAGGCACCTGCATCAGATCCTGCTACCAGGTTCCTGCCCTGTTTGAGTTCCTGCCCTGACTTCCTTCAGTGATCTACTGTGCTGTTGGACTCTGTAAGATGAAATAAACCCTTTCCTCCTCAAGCTGCTTTTGTTCTGTTTTTGCACAGCAACACAAACCCTAAGACAGTAACTGTCAAGGTTTCAATTACAGGCTGAAATGGAGTAAGAGACTGTGATGGCTATTCTTGACTGTCAACTTGATTGTATCTGGAAGGAATTACAGCCCAGAAATGGAGGGCACACCTGAGATCCAGATCTTGAGGTGGGAAGGCACATCTTTAATCTAAGCCACACCTTCTGCTGGAAGCCTAAGGACAATGGAAGAAGTAAGGTTATTCATTCTTTTGCCTGTTTGCCCTCACCTTATCAGAATATCCATTCCTTCACTGGCACTGGAGCCTACTTCATGATTTCAGCATATACAGAAGACAAGCTGAGACACCCAGCCTCCTGGGTTAATAAATATATGTATTCATGCTGTAAGTTCTGTGACTCTAGAGAACCATCATACATATACTAAGCCAGAAAAGGGATCAATTTCTCTTTCCACCCTCCTGAAACAGTGCACCGAGGTCAGGTACATTAACAGATAGGTCTTCACCACTCAGGGAGCCCTGAAAAGACGTCTGCAATATTGTGGATGGGCAAATGCTGTAGGGATGGAGAATAAAAGGTCCCTCAGTAGCACGTATGTTAAAGGCTTGATCCTTGATGATTGTTTAGCAGTGAAGGCTCTGACCTCACGAATGGATTATTTCTTTGATGACTTCATACTTGGATGGAGTATTAGGAGATGAAATCTATGAGGTGGATATACCTCTATCAGAGCATGCCTCTGGGACTAGTTCTCTCCCTGGCCCTTCTAATCTCATGCTTCCTCTGCTTCCCAGCTGCCATGTGGTGAGCAACTTCACTCCACTCTGCTCCTTACTCCCCGGCACACACAAAAACAAAAAACAAACAAACAAACAGTGAAGTAAGCATGGAGAGAAACTGTGAGACAAAACAATAAACCCACCATCCTTTTTAAAGGCATGTTGTCATAGTAACAGAAAATTGATAGTACAGAGGACAGAAAGGACCAGGAGTGGAGAAAATACCAAGTCACAATAAAGTGTGAAGTCCTCCCCAGTAGGCTTCTGCTAAGGCACCTGTGGAGGCCTCTGCCAAAAGTCCTCAGAGACTGCTCCCCACCCCCCCCCCCCCCCCCCCCCCCCCCCCCCCCCCCCCCCCCGTCGATAAGGAAGAGTTCAGGAAAATGAACCCAGATGATAAAAATGCTCATCCTGGAACTTTTTTTTTTGCAATTAGCCTTTGTCAAGACTAATCCTTTTCCTTGGGGGATTCACAGTTCATTATAGCGAACATGAATGAAACAACGTGAAGAAAGTAACTACTACCCACCTTGGCAAACTCAAAGGTCAAATACTCACTATTACTAACTTTCTAAAAGCATACAAAAATTAGGATAACAAAGAGTTGAAAAGAATGTGATTAAATAATATTTCCACTACAGCCATCATTACACAGAGGGAAACAACCAACAAAAACTGTTATAGCAATTGGCAGACTTTAATATTTAAGAAAAATTAAGTCCATATATACACATTAAAAATATAGGAAATTTCATGCAGACATGAAGCTTCCAATTCAACCATCTGGCAATGTTTAGAATGTGAATTACATATAAATACCATATATTTTACAGTTCTCAAACTTGATTATTTCATACTGTGATTTCTACAGCTTTCCTGTATATTTTATATGCCCTATCTTGCTCATTGATCAGAACCTAAATTTGCACCACCTCAGAAAGTCGAAATTTGAAAACAGCAAGCACATGATCACCTTATGAAGATGAAAACATTTGTGTATAGAGCGAATTTAAGAAAAAGAACTTAAAACTTAAGGCTTACACACTTCAGTAGACCTAAATATAAAAAAATACAAAACTAAGCTCCTCCAGTGACACTTCTATTATTGATTTATACCACATTTCCACATTTAGAATATATTAACTTCAAAAGCCACAAGAGAAAAGAATGATGCAAATTTATAAGGAATATTTTTAAAACATTCATGATATGAGAAAAACTAAAAATAAATGAAATAACTGATTTGAGAGTTAAGTAAAATATATAATTTAGAAATGTAAGTAGTATTATTAAAGAGTAAAACATGACAGAAAAGAAAAAACTTTAGGTAACAAAACCAACCCAGTGGTGTCAGTCCGTTCTTGTCTTTGTAAGAAAAACAAAACCAGGCTATAAAAAAATACTACAAAATGAATAAAAAGTATTCCTAAATAACAACAAAAACAAAAACAAAAACATGCATTCCTTGCTCTTCAATGTCTTTTAAAATACATTTCTTTAAATTTTTTTTCGTTAAAAAAATAATTCTCGGAGATTTTTTCACCCTTGCAAATAGTAAGTAATGAGAATTTCTTTACCAAATGAACACTTATGAAGTACTGAACACTGGAAGAAGAAAAAATAATTTTAAAAGGTAAGTAGACTGTATTTACATAGCCGAAGTAAAATTCACTCCATGGAGCCATGTACTGCATCGGGGAGGGCAGATGAGAAAAGATCCCATACTGTGTAGAACTCCCCCAACCAGAAAGAGCAGATCCTACAGACTCCCCAACCTAAGCAACACAAAGGCCTGAAGACATACAGTAAGGCTTCCTATTAAAGCATGGCAACATGGCAGTTCAACCACCAGCATATATTAAATCCATCTAATCCAAATGTCACAGAGGTCACAACCATCTGTGAAATATTCAGCAAGAGCTTTCTTTTCTTGTAGAAATTAAAGTATCAGTCATCTTTGCTTTCCTAGCTAATGGAAACGGAATAACCAATGTTAAAATTAACAGCAACAACTCCCTCCCAAACAGGCCTCCCTAGAGGTAGAAAATTAAAGCAGCACACACACTGTTTAAACTCCAACTCTATCAGGGGACAAAACTGTTATTAATCTGAAATTCCATGAATAGCTGCTGCCTAGGATATTGAAGACACAGACCATGGGCATTAACTTATCCCTGAATTTCATACTCAAACTTCTCATGTTAATTCTATCATGACAGTTTTTACTAAAGTACACTTTAACTAAAAAAAAAAAGTGCTCGCTTTCATAAGCCACATACTTAATAAAAGACATCATAGTAAACATTACACTGACAAACTTTATAACTCATTTCTAATTTGAAGTTATGTTTCAGATGGGCAGATTTTATTCTTATTTTCTCAGTTACTTAACACTGCTTTAAAAAAAAGAAAGAAAGAAAAAACTTTTGTGTCTCTGAATGTTTATATCTTATACATTTTAAAGGGATCCAGGAGTTTCTATAAGATTCAGCTTAGCATGGATAAAAACTGAATTTCTCTGTTGATGTATTTCATTGAATTTTCACCTGTGATACAACTGAATAAATACTCCATAGAAGACATATGTGATGCCTCTCTAAATTCAGCTGAGGTAAGGAAAAAAAAAGTCCCAAATTTGAATCAAACTATTGAAAGAACAGTTTCAAAATTCTTTAAGTATAGATTACATAGGTCCATTGAGAACAAAGTTCCAGTTCCAGATGCTTAATATGACAGAGGATCCTTAGACTCTTCTAAAAATAACACAGGTAATGTAAAACCCAAAAAGGAGATTAGTATGGACTTTAGCATTATCAGTCATTAATATGTCAGATTTGCAACAGCTTCATGAAGACTGGAGTTTAGGTTTATTTTCTTAAAGAAAGACAATTCTGGGCTTCAAAGAAAAAAGTACTTGAAGATATTTCCTCCATTATATATCTGCATGGGAGATATTTTCTCCATTTTTTTTTCTTGTGCAGTATGAATCTGCATGGTATAGTATATTTCTGAAAAAGGCAATAGATATTAAGAAAATAGACACTATTTCTAAATTTTGTTAGGAATAAGAAGGCACCACTGATTTGAGGTTGTGTCCTGTTGTCACTGATAGTTGACTGTGAGTTGTTTATTTCAGCATTTGTTCATATTAAACTTTTTTCTAGGTAATATCACTCAAGACCATTACTGTGGTTTCCGGACCACGAACAAAACACATTCATAGTAGTATTTCATCATAGAGAGATCATTCACAGTATATGTTGACAATACAGATTCTTTTTCCACCTGTAATACAAACAAAAATCAAAATAAGATCATGATGGCAACACTATTAACAAATAAGAAGTTAGTAATGGCAGGCACTATCCTAATTATATTTAAACAATAGACTGATAACAGCCATCATCCCACTTACAAAGTAACAGGTTATGTAAGTTCAGTATCACACCACTAACACTTGGTTAAAAATGGATTCAAATTCAGGCAATCTTAACTATGAAGAGCTATAAATGCATTGCTTGTCTTTAGTCTTAAGAATAAATTCATTCTTTTGTAAATGAGTGGAACAGTCCTAAATAAATAAATAACCAACTCAACAGCCAAAGTACCGTAAAGTCTTATTTAATAAGGGGGTGGAGAGAGGAGAAAGGCCAGGAGGTAGAAAATAAGAGAGAACTGTTTCTTTGATGCCTGCCTTCCCATCATCTGCCTTCTCCAGAGCCTAGTCTACTCAGTACCAGTCAGTAAGAAATTACCCAGGCCATTATCAGCTACCATTTATTGAAGGTCTATTTCAACAAGAATTATAGTTTTCCCTTTACATACATATTGTTCCAATTTTACAATTAAGAAAGCTGTGTAATAATACCTTTTCTATCTGAATTGAGAAAAAGAAAAGTGAAGAAGTAAAGTTAGTAACTGCTATAATGCCTGTATTCCTGTTGAAAGGCTTTGCAAGCTAAACTCTGGCCCTGTTTCTTTCCATTCTTACCTCCAGCTGGAATCCATACTGAAGAACAACATTTTTAATATCCTCATAGCTCAATTCTATAGACAGTTCATTGGCCAGATTTTCAAAATGGTACAGTAGAGGACCTATGGTTTGAAGATATTATGAGTGAGTTACATGAACACAAGCATACACAGACAGCTTTGGACACTGCATGTACTAGATGTACTAGTTGAGTAGGAAATAAGGGAAAAATGAAAAGGTCCACTACATTTGCTGAGGACAGTCATCCAGACTTCTGCAGTTTCAGCCAAGACAACATCACATCACAGCTGTACCCTCAGACTCCTCTGTATAGTCTCGTCTCTACCTTTGACTGAGCTCACCATCAATCCTACATAGAGCTAGCCATTTACACTCCGCAGACAACAAACTGAGATGATGAAAAAAGGCAAGAAGAGAGATAAAAGTAACAGCTGAGACAGTTTTGGCTCCTAAGAGGCTTTGCCATCCTGTGACCCTGTGGGTAAACATTTTCTTCTCTTTTAGTTTCTAGGTAGGGTTTTTCAATGTAGCCCAGGAAGTTTTGAACACTTAAATCTTCCTGCCTCAACTTCTTAAATGCCAGGAATCTAGTCATGCTGGCCCCTCTTTTATTTTTACCCTACCTAAACCACTAAAGTAAATGACCATGAATATAGTTTATATGTTAGCACACCCTTCAAAATAACAGTGTTCTTCTTTAAAAACCTACTCTTGCCGGGTGGTGGTGGCACACGCCTTTAATCCCAGCACTTGGGAGGCAGAGGCAGGTGGACCTCTGTGAGTTTGAGGCCAGCCTGGTCTACAGAGCGAGATCCAGGAAAGGCACAAAGCTACACAGAGAAACCCTGTCTCGAAAACACCAAAAAAAACAAAACAAAAACCCTACTCTTACTGGCCAGTTTCTGGCCATCTGTTCAGTCCTAAACTATATCAAAGCCTTTGTATAGAGTGCAGAGCCTCGGAGCAATCTTTACAGCCTTTGAAGCTTATTTTATGCTTGTTCCACTTTTATATAAATGTTTATTTTATGTGCATGAATGTTTCACCTGCAAGTATGTGTATGTACCATGTGGAAGGCAGAAGATGACATCAAGACCTCCTGGAACGGTAGTTACAGAAGGTTGTGAGCCACCACTGTGTGGGTGCTGGTACTAAATCTGGGTCCTCTGCAAGAGCAGCAAATTCTCTTAACCACTGTGCCATCTCTACAACCTCTTTGCTCTATTGTTTTAAGAGCATCTGAAAATCAATTTTGTAGGTATACACTCCTCCCAATAAGTCATATGTAATTGTCTTTCCACTTCCATGTTTGATCTCAAAAGCCTATAAAGCCCTATCCCTCAAACTCAAACTTTAGCTATGCTGATATATTATGTACCCTAATATAACTTGCCTGCAGATTCAGAGAACAGAACAAGCCACTAGACTAAACATAGAGGCCAGGCAGTGGTGGCACACACCTTTAATCCTAGCACTCGGGAGGCAGAGATCCATCTGGATCTCTGAGTTCAAAGCCACCCTGGACTACATGAGATTGACTCAGTCTAGGAGAGAAACAGAAGCCAGGCAGTGGTGGCAGACACCTTTAATCCTAATACTTGGGAATCATATGCCTTTAATCCCAGCACTTGAAATCTCATGCTTTTGATTGGGAAGCATACACACTTTTGATCCCAGCACTAAGAAGAAAGTAATGGCTGGGTGGAGAAAGGTATATAAGGAACTGCCTTGGCTTCCCTGTGTGAATGACTATAAACCCTTCATAGTACAACGTCCTTTAGAACTTATTTACTGTAGTGTTGCATCACACACTACTTTCAGGTAAATGTCAGCATTCTCATATCTGCAAACTAAGCATCAAGCAATATGACACATATGAGTGTAGTATATGCACACGCGTGTAAAGGTCAGAGGATGACACTAGATATCCCTCTCTATCATTCTTCACCTTATTTCTTTGAGACAAGGTCTCTCACTGAACCTGGCACCATGTATGCCAGCAAGCCCCAGTGATCCTCTCTCTTATCTCTGTCTCCAACAGTGCTGGGGTTTCAGGCATATTCCTGGCAACATCTGGCTTTTCATTGTATAAGATTTGTTTTTATTTTATTTATGTGTCTGTGTTGAGTGTATGCCACGTTTGTATAGTTACCTGCAGAGGCCTGAAGAAGGCATCAGATTCACCCAGTGCTTGAATTACAGGCTGTTGTGAGCCATGTAACATGGGTCTGAGAAATGTACTATGGTTCACCAGAAGAGCAGCAAGTGCTCTTAACCGTTAAGCTATGTCTCCAGGCTGAATATCTGACTTTGTAGGTGGGTGCTAGGAATCAAATTCAGGTTCTCATGCTTGCATAGGAAGCATTCCTGTCCACATAACCATCTCACTAGCCCAAAGATGTCTTTAAGTTTAAGTCTACCAAAATGAATAGTAAATGCTAACTGTCTAACTTAAATGTTTATAACATTACCAGTCAAGACAAGAACTGTGGTGTGAATACGCTCTGTAGTCTTTTGTTATAAATTGTGCTTTGACAGATATCTCCACATATTTCAGATCTTCCCTTACACAAAGACATTTGAGACAACAAATATTTTTACTGACTTGGTTCAAATTGCCAAAAGAGTTAGAGATGGAAGATCCCGTATCCTAAGTGCTTGAGTTCAGGTGCTTTAGATTTTAGAATATTTACATATACAAAAGGAGACAGAAAAGGGGACTGAGTCAAACCACAACACCAGTTTGTTTGATATATACTTAATCACATAACCTAATAGTCTGTCTGGACAGTATGGATTACCAAGGGCTTTGCTTATAGTAAGGCTCTACCAATGGGCTATAACCCTAAACTCTAACACACTAATTTTGCACAGTATTTTTAGTGCATGTACACACCCTGTGATCTATTGGATGAGATCATATATTGAACTTGCTACTTAGCATATCAAGATTTTAGATTTTTGAGCAATTTAGACTTTCAAGTTAGGAAAGATCTGTATAGATTTTCACTCATAACTGCATGAAGAGTATTGTCTCAAAACTTTATCGGGGTGAGATGAATGGTACTGTCACTCTGAAAAACAGATCAGTAGTTTCTGGCAAAATTTGCTCTGCACTCATCACATATAACTAAGAAATTTCTTTACTGGGTGCTAACCCAAGAGAAATGAAATCTTGTAGCCACATTTAAGATTCTGTGCCAAGTATCCATAGCAACTTTATTCCTAACCAGCATAGTCTGGCAAAAAAAATCAAATGTCCATCCATTGAGAACTGATAAACAAAATATCACCCACCCATCCAGTGACATATGACTCAGCAATAAAAGGGAACATCACACTGGTTATGCAGCAACCTAAGTGAGTCTTAAAGCATCATGCTAGACAATGGAAGCCAGATACATAAAGTACTACACTGTATGGTTCTGTTTATATGATATTCTGGGAATATCATATAGGGGAAACTGGAGTTACAGAACCCCAGACAGCAGTTGCCAGGTTTTTTGTTTTGTTTTGTTTTGTTTGTTTTCAATTATCACCTCTCTTCATATTAAGAGAAAAAACAAAGATGTATTTTCCTTGGTCATAAAATATAGAGTAAGCTCATAATAGAAAGATAAGGCAACATGAAGCAGCATCAAAAGAAAGTGAAAGCATCTCTAATCCATCCACAGACTCTCACTAGTGTACTGTATCTCCTTGAGGGTTTCCTTGACACACGGTAACAAGAATTACATATACACTTTAGCGTCTTTCTAAGGAATGTACTTACTGTGGAAGTCTTAAAACTACTTATCCATTTCTTGCTGTTAGGAGACAGGTCCAGTCTAAAATTATTGGGCATACCTGTTCATTAACTGACTTTTAGTGTTAGCCCTTATCTAATTATTTTTCTCTGATAGAAAATATAATTTAACAAATATATAATATTAGCAAATACTTTAGACTTTGTGGGCCACATATACTCCCCATATCTATCACTTACTCATATTTTTCCCCCTTGCCCTTTAAGAAAATACAAAGCATTCATAGATGACAGGGCCAGAAAAACTGGATAAAGGCTACATTTAACATAGACTTAACAGTTATAGTAACAAGTCACTGGCTTTCCCTAACCTAAGGAGGGTTATAAAAAGTGTCTTAACTTTCCCTTTAAGGGTTTTGTAAGTTACAGATCCTTACAACTCTGACTTGACGCAATTTGGGGAGCTGTTCACTAATTTTGCTTCAATGTCAGAACCAGAAGATTGCTGGCAGTTGCAACTCTTACACATGAAAATATTGATTCTAGTCTCTATGATCACATAGTAAAACCCACTTCTAAGGGGGCTGATACATTCTTAGTGCACCAAGAAAACTAAGCCTCTAGATCCATATGGCTGACATCCAAACCATAGGGATGTCTTTTACTCATACAGATGCCATCGTATCGAGTCTGTAGGCAGCCAATCTCCCTGTCTGACTTTGTCCCTTCTTGCAAATCTTGAATACATTCATCCACAAACATGGCAGTCAGTAAAGACCCACTATTTGCCAGGGTCCACACTCAGTGACTAGGAGGCATTAGAGCCTTATTGTCATACAACTCAGAGATGGAAAAAAGGGGAAAGGGGCAGGAACTGGGGGAGGATGCAAAGCCATTAAGAAGCCAGATCACTAGAGGCACTGCATATAACCTTGAAGAGGTTCAAATAATCAAAAAAGCTATACAATTTTATGTAAGGAGACTGAAGGGCACAGATCTGCATGTTGAAAAGGTAACCCTGCTGATGGGGGATGAAAGGGAGATGAAGTTTCAGATACCCTAAGGACTACTACATCTTACTCCAGGGAAGCAATGATGAAGTTATAGCAATGGTTCTCAACTGGGAACAATTCTGCCTTGCTAAGGAACATTTTCAATGTCTGAGGATGATTTTTACTTAGCATACTGGGGGGATACTACTGGAATCTGGTAAGCAAAAGCCAAGGATGCCATTAACAACCCTGTAATATATAGAGCAGACCCCCTGCCACCATCCCTGAAGAATAAATAACCCTACCCCAAATGACAGTAGGGCCACAGTTAAGAAACAAGGATAAAGTCAGAGGTACTAAGGAACTTTAAGAAGTTCAGCTTTCAGCTCAACTCTGAAGAGGAGGTGGAGATGTGGACTGAATGTCTGGGCCCCATGTCTCCCCTTCCCAGTTGGTGTGTGACAGCCTTAGTGTTGAGTTCAGCTGCATTTCAAGTTGGGGTCTATCAGGAAACAGGAAACAATTATGGTTAATAAGAGCATAAAAATGGGGTCAAGACCTGGCAGAATTAGTCTCTTCATGTAAAACACCTGGTCAAATGCTTGTCCTCTGGCTCTCTCCTCTGAGCCCCACAGCCTTACTTACCAGAGTCAGGTAAATGCACAGCATCAAGAAAGCAGCTGTGCTAGCTAATTTTATGTCAACTTGACACAAGCCATAGTCACCAAAAAGGAGGGAGCCTCAACTGAGAAAATGCCTCTAAGATCCAGCTGTATGCAAGCCTGTAGAGCAGTGGTTCTCAACCTGTGGGTCACCACCATGGGAAAACACAGATTTCTGAAGTCTTAGGACCAGAGACACCATTCAGCAGCAAAATTACAGTTATGAAGTAGCAACAAAAATAACTTAATGGCTGGGGGTCACCACAACATGAGGAACTGTATAAAAGGATAGCAGCATTAGGAAGGTTGGGAACCACTGCTGTTGGGCATTTTCTTAATTAGTGATTGATGGGGGAAGGACCAGCACATTGAGAGTAGTGCCATCCCTGGGCTGGTGGTCCTGGGTTCCATAAGAAAGCAAGCCAGTAAGCATCACCCCTCCATGGCCTCTGCATCAGCTCCTGCCCTGACTTCCTCCAATGATGAACGGCAATATAGAAATATAAAGCTAAATAAGGCCCTTTTTCCCATTTGCTTTTGGTCATAGTGTTTCATCATAGCAGTAGTAACTCTAATTGGGACAGCAGCTATGTGCAATCTATGACTGCAACACAAGAGAGCCTTCTCCAGACATCAACCTGGCTGACCCCTTATCCTTGGAATACCATCTCCACAACTATGACAGAATAAATGTCTGCTGTTTATACAATCTGTTAGGCATTGTTTTAGCAGCCCAGCCTAATCAAAAGATCAAAGACTTTCTCCCAATATTTGGTGAGGGAGTTTGAGCAGATCCAGGTCTAGAAAGGTATCAGGGAGGCACCAGAATCATCTTGAGATATCTAATTTTTTTGTTAATCCATGAAAGACAAAACTGGCTTGGAACACAAGAGCATTATTTGAATCAGAAATACTGACAGAGAATTAAAAGCAATAGGGGAAACATGCAATTGGGTAGAAGGAGCGAACAGAGTAAAGAAACAGCACATGGTACAAAAAGTAAAGAACACTGATTTTATCAAGGATACACCCATATTTAAGGAAAATTAGATTATTATTTTTAAAGATTTTGCCTTTAATTATGTGTACATGTACAGGTATGTGGATGCTGGTGCCTGAATGCTGGTGCCTATGGAGGCTAGAGGCATCTGGAGCTGGGGTTACAGGTGTTGTTACAGGTAGCCACCTAATGTGAGTGCTGGGAAATGAACTCTGATCCTCTGCAAGAATAGCATGCACTCTGAACTGCAGAGCCATTTTTCCAGCCCCGATTATTATTTTTAATATTCTTTAACTTATACATGCAAAACACTCTATTTATGAAGTATTCAGCTAAGGTAGGTTTTTCCATTATTGTAATTCCTCAGATTGTTTGGAAAGCCTGTGGCTAGATGACTGGCAGGTCTAACTGTCTTTGTAAGCTATCTGATCCATGACATCTGTCGTCCATGACACTGAAGACATACTGTAGCATAACTACTTTTAGCTAACAGCCTCCCTGCTTAGAAGAGCCAACTTTGTTTCAGGCATTTGTTATATAACTTAATAAAATATTAATAAAACAAGTGTTCATGCACAAAGTTGCTTTTATCAGTTAAATAAAGTACCTTAGAAGGACAACAAACCTTATCCTAACTCATTAACTAGTGTCCAAACCTTCAATTTTGTATATATAGTGTCATGTTAATGCTAAGCACAAAGTGACTATGTCAGGCTATGAGCCTGTTTCTCACCACAAGTACACTCCAGGACCTTTCTGGTAGTTATTTAACCAGGACTCATGTTCTTCCACTATTAGTAAATAGAGCCTTTTAATTAGGATTGCCCTGAGAGGCTGACGAAGTAGCTCAGTGGAAAGAGCACTTGTCTAGATGCACAAGACCCTACTATGACCCCTAGGACCACAAACAGGATAGGGCTGTTATAAATTTAAAGTATTTATAAGGATGCCCTAAATCACAGGGAACACATAGATTCTCAGTAGTGTCCTTCAATCATTCCTTGGGCCAACTTTCCCAAAGCATTTACTTTTAAAGTCCTAAGGTTTGAGATATTTGATTCTTAAGATGATGGCATTTTACAGCTGTTCTCATCTAATCTTACAAAATTCTGGAGAGAGAATGGGAAGACTTACTACTTCTAGTCTTGGTCCTGATAAAACAATTTCCAGTAAAAATAAAATCATTACATAGTAATTGACAGAAGCTCAGCAATAAACTAGGTCTTTATGTATCGGTCCTCTTCTGTGGTAGAGTCTTCATCATGAAAGTCTCATCTTCTAAGCATGGTTAATGTTCTAAACATAGGGCACACTTAAATGGACATTTCACCATATTCCCTCTACCTTTAAGATGATAAAATAGGCAATTCCCTTTAGATTCTTGATAAAGGAACAAGTCATACTCACAGTTTTATTTCTAGTATCAAGCAATAGGCTCAAAGTACAAAGGGTTTTTTGCATATATAAAATTGTATTTCTATTGCTTCTTAAACTCATGGTAGTTAGAAAAACTATCTCATCTACTGGAGAGGAAAATTCCATGACGAAGGTAAAATCCCCCTCCAAAGATTTAAAACAATAAAAACATTCTCTTCTTTTCCTTGTGAACATTTTTTTCCTTTGATAGATTCTTCTCTCATACAATATATCCCAACCAGTTTCCCTTCCCTCCACTCCTCCTAGCTCCCCCCACTTTTACCCTCCCCCCAGATCTACTCCCCCTCCATTTCCTCTGTCCCTCTCCAAGAGATGACAGGAAAACAGGACAAAACAAGATACAATAAGACAAGATGAAAGCCCCCATATTGAGGCTCGACAAAGCAACCCAATAGGAGGAAAAGAGTCTCAAGAGCTGGCAAAACAGTCAGAGATACACATGTTCCCACTGTTAGGACTCTCATAAGAATATCAAGCTAACAGCCATGACATATCCGCAAAGCCTGGTGCAGACCCGTGCAGGCCCCATGCTTGCTTCTTCAGTCTCTGAAAACACTCTTCTCTTAACAGAATGAAATGCCACTGCATGCACGGAGTGGGGGAAGAGTACAAGGGACTAAGTACCGAATCAGCAGGTTAAACTTAGTATGAGCACCAGTTAAGACCCATAGGCTGCCCTAAGAGGGACATCCCAATGCTTGGACTGCCTCTGCTTTCAGGAGTTATCACCCACTTGAATGTGGTCTAATAGATAATACAGCATAAGTCTACGTTCACAAGCATCTGGTACTGTGCCACTACCAAATGGAAAAGAGCTCTAATCCTCAGACTGATGTATAAAATGTTAATGAACATTAAAGCACTTACCAAGGTTTATCCAAATTCCACCTGGCTTGAGTATTCTCCATATGGTATCGATATAATCAATTACATTGTGAGCTGTATCTATGAAGAAGCATGTGGCAATACAGTCCCAGGTATCTAATCAACAGAAATCAGACCACTGCATCGGTTATTTTGTTTTTTGGTTTGTTTTTTTTTTCTTTTACCTATCTATTAAGCTTGCCAACTAACTCTTACAGAATATTAATATTTCATTTAACTGAAAGGATGCAGACACTACTATTCTGATCAACACTATAATCAAGATGATAATAGTATAGTAAATACAGTAGTCAATTTGGAAATCATTTGTTATTAACACATCAGTACGCATTACCAAATGATACTGTTAACGAGTTGCTTAGCATCTCCTCAACTGCTAGCCTTTAGTTTACTATGTTTACTTCTGTGATGCTTGAAACTAAACCTAGGGTCTTGAGCTAGGAAAGTGCTCTGTGACTGGGCTAACCTAGTTCTCATCTAAAATCTGTTAAAAACAAAATAGTCACCTTAATTTTTGAGTTCCGATTCAAACCAGTATTAACGACTGGTTCTGGCAGGTTTTAGGTAGGCCTTTCTTGCCAATTTGAGAAATGATGACATTAAAATACCCAAATACCTACTATTACTTGATACTCATCAGGGAGAAGTTGGCTGGAGAAAACACAGGCAAAGGTGCCCCCCACCCCACCCCCAAAAAAACTGTTTAGCTCTTGGAAGCTGTTGCCAGGCAGAGGTAGGGACCAGATTCAAGATGTAGTGTCTACTCTAATCCTGATGTGGTAAAAGTGCCTGGCCCAAAAGGGATCACCTGCGTCCTCTTCTAGTCCCAGTCAGAGGAAAATGATTCTTAGTTGCATCATGATGCTTTCCACTATTTCACTGGTCTGAGATCTTGTTCCTTAACATTTATTTACCCAACAGCTTAACCTCTCCCAGGTGTTCCTTTCTAACTTCAGAATGCAGGTTGATACATCTTTCTTTGTTGCTACCCTTGCTCCAAGCTGTCTTCCGGAGGCTTCCTGTCCTCTCAGAGTACAATTCAAACTTCTTGCTTTGAGTTGGCCTAACCAACCAACCCTATGCCCTTTTATCTCCCTCATCCCCTTACTCACTTCACCACAGGCCCTACTGAACACAGCCAAGCGCTCTTCCTAACCCCCTAGCCATCCCTAGACATGTGACAATTTCCTTCTTAGTTTCTACCCTTGGACTTACTTTATTTTCTTCCAGACAATTCTGTATGTTATGGCCTCTCTGTCTCTTCCAGAGTTATAAGTCCCCTGTGCCTAGGGACTTTGTCCCACTAACTGCTGTGTTTTGAATTTCTAGAATGCACTTGGCATTTAGCAGGCAGCAAACAGATCTTTCTTGAAAGAATGCTCTTGCTGCTGTGCAGAGTTGTTTTCCTTCTTCCTGTTACTGCCCATTTACACTCCTCCCTTGTCCATTACTGCCTCCCTCCAATGTCTCCAAAAATCTGAAATCTAACTTCCAACCTGACACAAGTCTTCTACAACCAAAGCTAACCTACTTTTTAAGACATATCTCCCATAAAACTTCTTTCCTTGCCAATCTGACCCTGCTGCAGTCCGCGATGACCTTATTCTTTGGTGTCTTTGTACCTCAAATAACTATTCGTCTCTGTCCATCAAGTCACATCCTCTTTACAAGAAAGCTGCATTCCCACACTATTTTATTTCCGTCCTTACTTCAATCGGCACATATTTGAACTCTTTAAAAGTTATCTTTTAGTAACAGAGCCAACATCTCTTGAATGTACATATATTTCTTTACATTTCCTGTCACTGCCTTTTACACAACCTTGAAAATACTCTGTTGTCACTGACATTGCACACCTTATATTCTGTCATTGAAACAAACGGTTATAACACTGGGTCATCATTTAGAATAACAGATAAGAACTTTAAATACTTGCTTTGAACTTACTGCATTCTGAGTAAATCTCCTGAAAGTCTCCTGCTGTCATCGAAAAGTTAGAACCTGGAGGAAGACTGTGGGGGTCAACATCAGGGAAAAAAATGGGTCGAATCTGATCAGCTGATCTCCGATTATTGCTAAACTGATGGATCCAGGGATAAAGTTTATATTTGTTAATTTCAGAACATCTGTAAAATATGAGCATAAGGTTCAATGTTAACTACACATTTTACCAAAAAAGAACCTACTTTAAGCACTAAAATATCTACTGATTGAAGGTTTTCACATGTAACTTATTAGACTTGAAAAGTGTCAATCTATACTGCATATTCAGTTATCTGAAGCTGTGTATACATGTAGATGAACAACTGTGGATTAAAAGAAATTCAGAGACTCACATGTGCTATTCATTTGGATTTATAAAAAATTACTAAAATTTTGTTGGTTTTTGAGACAGGGTCTTATGTAGCCCAGCCTGGCCTTGAACTCACTGTGTAACTGAGGATGACATTGAATTCTTGATCCTCCTATTTTCACCCCAAAAAAGCTGAGATAAGAGGCCTGTGCCACCACATCCAGCAAAAATGTATTCCTGAACCTCACATTTGAGTAAAAACAAGGAAACTAGACTTGTTGCCTACTTTTACCATTCTACACGTAGCCTTCTTCTTCCCCCATCTCACCAGCAACTCATACTGCCACCAATGACAGCACTGCACTGAAGAACTGAATATGTTGCCAGTGACGTGCTATTGAAACAGGCAGCTAATTCTCTGTCTCTAACACACTGTCCCCTGTACCTCCTGACTTAAAAAATAGTCACTCTTTTTTCTGGTAGAGGACACAAGTTCTCAGGTCTCATTCCAAATCAGTCATATGAACATGTATGGCCACTTACTGCAAAGTCAGGGAAAATAGTTACAATTGCTACCATAAACTCTTCACCAAGAAACAAAAGGTGAAAAAGCTTAAAAAAACAATGAGAAAAAACCCTTTCCTATATTCATGGAAAGCCCAATTACTTTTTAAATGGCTATTTGCTTGCCCTGTGTCAACACTGATAGCTAATTAACACTGGCTACAGTGGCAATCGGTATAAACATTATGAATTTAATGTAAATATGATCTGTATCAGTCAAGTACTATATACTTTTCTTCTAATTCGGAATTGTTCAAAAATAGGTAAAGCAATTTGATTTTGAGAATTTACTATTTCCAGCAAAAAGTAAATTAAATACCTGTTGAGTACAAAGTTGGAAGAAAAGAGCATAAAAAAACTCCATTCATTTCCTTGACAAGCATAACCTAGCATAGCTATTTCCCAGGCCAATCTTCCTAGTCCAGCACCAGGTACCAGAATATTTACTTTAGAAGGATCCCTGAAATGAAACAAGGCAATTATATCCAGCCCCTCAAAGAGGAAAAAAAAATTAAGAAAGAAAAAAAGACAAAATCCACATTAACTAAAAATGTACTGAATTATTCAATAAGCATAAGCTAACTTAGACTCTTGACTTCTTAAAACTGAAGTATTTCTAAATGTCAATAAAAACAAGAGATAGAAGGAATTATCACATTATCAAGTGACCAAAAAAAAAAAATACTTTAAAAAAAATAGAATCACACTGTATCTAAAGACTTACAGTCATTCCCGTTTCTGGGAAGATAATTTTCCCAAAGTGATCCCCAAATTACATACGGGACATTTGAACAATTAGTTTATCATGAGGCAGAAGACACTTCTAAGCTCATACAACACAATGATTTACAGAACCAAATAAATGAACTATATTTAGATTTTAACGTATAAAGCCTATCTCTAAAATTTTATAGATCTCAGGTACAAAAAAGAAAAAGCAGCAGTTCTGGGCACAGTAACTCATACCTGCAATTCCATGACTGGGAGGCTCAAAGGACTGCCACTGAGTTTGAGACTAGCTGGTCCTCACTGTAAATTCCAGAGCAGCTTGGGAGACAACTGTTTCCGTTGCCCCTACCTCTCTCCCAAGAGAGAGAGGAAGGAGTAGAGGGATGGATATTCTCTTGGAGAAAATGGGCAGCTGCCTTCTTTTCAAAAGGGTTTCATTAAGTTGCCCCAGACTGGCCTCAAACACAGCTCCCATTTCAAGTATTTCTAGACAAGCATTCATGACAAATATATGGCACCAGACCAGGGGTCCTATTTATCCCATCACACTGCCGTTACATGCTCCTTTTCTCTAAGTTCTGCTAGTCTGCTTTTAAATTACAATAAGTTTTAGGGGGTAAAAAAAAGCAGGCAGCAGGGAACTTTTCTCAGGAACTCTGACAAGTCAAATTCTAGGGTCAGCAAGATTGCTCAGTGGGTAAAAGCAGCTGTGACTAAGGCTGACAACTTGAGCTCAATCCCTGGGACCAACATAGTAGGAGAGAGCCAACCCTTTTGGGCTATCCCCTGACCTCCACATATGCGCCCATGTGCATGCATTGGTATACACATGGGAACACACATGCACATACACATAACTTTTTTCTAAATGTGGGGAAAATGACATTTGTATAGGGAACCAAAGGAAAATGTGTGTAGCCAGTTAGTATTGTTTTTATAAAAAAAAGAATTTAACTATTATGTTTCCAAAATTTGGTTCACAAATCCAATTCTATTTCAAACCATTCAAATCTTATAAACTACCTGTTCCCTGAGGTCTTGCACTCTCAGAAAGCAATAGGGCATTTTTGCTAGCATTGTATTCTATAAAGCAATCTTTACATACTCCATTTTAAAACAAAAAAAGAAAGTGGGGGCCAGGGAAATGGCTCAGTCTGTAAAGTGCTTGCCATGCAAGCCTGAGGACTTGAATTGCATCTCCAAACAGCCAGGTAATCCCAGCCCAGGAAGGCAGAGACAAGAGGATCCCTAGGGCTTGTTGGTCAAGCTACCTAGCTGAATTAGTGAGCTCCGGGTCCAGTGAGAGACCCTATCTAAAGAAATAAAATGAAGAACAACTGAGCAAGACATCCAATGTTCCCTCTGGCCTCCACACACGTGTACCCACATACATGTACATATACACATACATAAACTTATAGATATTTGAAAATTCACTCTACAAATGTAGTCCCAAAGGAAGCAGCCCAAGGTAATTTGGTTTTATATATCAATTTAGGGAACATATGTTTGACTAATACACTTGCCAGGAATGGGCACACAACTTCAATCCCAGCACTCAGGAGACAGAGGCAGGCAGATTGCTGTGAATTCGAGGCCACCCTTGGCTATGCAGCAAGTTCCAAGCCAACCAGAACTATACAATGAAAACTCTATCTTTAAAGAAACAAAATAAAACCCAACAAGAACAATTTGGTAATTTATGGAAGATTAGATTTATGATTGCTTTTATCAAAATTTTCCTAACCAGAACTATGAACTTAGTGCATTTTAAGTGTGTATACTACTATTAAAAGGTACCAAGACACAAAACACAGGGGTACATCAAGCCCCTACCTCACAAGTTAGCAGATATTCCAGGTCTTCGCACTATTTGTATTATGACAAAAAAGTGTTTTCAAAGGGCTTTAACACAAAGTTGGTAGAATAAAAATATGACTGATCAAGAACCAAACAAATATTATACATTTCTTAAATGTGTAATATTAACTAGATGTTTCCCCCAAAGGTATACATGCTGATTTGAATCTTTAAGAAGTCTCGAGCATTTTTTATTTTCATGGAGAAGAGAAACAAATTTAAAATACAGATGTGGTGATTTTAAAACTTTAAAAACTAGGAACAGATAGATATATAAAATGTGGCCACATAATCAAATGTTGCCAGCTTGAGATTCTCAGCAAAAAAGTAGCAAGTTGACCAAGTTAGTAAGGTGCATTTACTACAAATGTGACCCTAATACAGGAGGAAAAAGTCTCAGCAGTTCATTCAAGACAGGAGTGAAGAAGAGGTGGACTTATAAGGACAAGACTAAACAGACACAAGCAGACTAGGCTACTTTTTTACTGACAGTAAATGTTTGTGACAGAGCTTTCATTAATTGGACCTTTCCTTTACCAATCAGCAAACTCTAACACACTATACTTTGTTTTGTGGTATCATCAGAGTGACACTTGGCTGACCCCTGGTGGTAGAAATATTCTAGAAATTTAGTTTATAGTTTCCTTGTTTCCACTATTTTCAAAGCATTTAAAATTACATATGGACCTTATATTTACAGCCTGCATATGTCCAAAAATTCTGAACAGTGGTCTATACAAATTAATCATTAAGACACATTATACCAGGACCAGGACAGTCAAGGCTACACAGAGAAACCCTGTCTGGAAAAACCTAAATAAATAAATAAATAAATAACCCAATTACAGGCATCTACATTACTTCTAATATTTTAGTATTACAATATTAGAATAATTTCCACATTCAGAAGTATATCTGTAAATAAGATTCAACAAAATTGAACTCTAAGAAATATTTTGACAAAAACTACAAAATTGTCCTCCATAAAAAATTTTTTCTCCGTAATATTTTTACTAATTTTTTTTCTTACATGAGAAACATGTTTCTCCACAGCTTCACTGGTCCCTAATTTTTAAATTTTGCAGTACATTGTATGAAAAATGGCTTCTTAACAGATTTTTAGATTTGATTTTCTTGTAAGATTGTCTTATATTCCTTTTATGCCATTTTCTTTTGAATTATTAATCTTGGACAGCTTACCATTGAGGTATAAACATTTGAAATTCTGATCTGAATGAAGTCTAAAACACATACCTGTTTTCAGAATAAGAGAAAATGTTCTTCGCTCTACACAACTGCATCTGGCATTCTATATTTCCTCTTTAAAATGGATTCCCTTAAGCTAACAAATCCCTTCATAAATATAATTAAAACCTTTATTTTACTATAAATAGAAAAATGCTTCTTTAAAACAGTATTTTTCCTAAAAATTATGAGAAAGATTAATTTTCAACTCTGCCTGTCAACGTCTTTTTGGAGTATATTGAGTACCAACATACTCTAAACAAACATCACCCCAAATTGCCTTAAAATAGGCTAATCAATTAAAAACTTAAAACAGTAACAAAAGCAACTTAATTGTTCTTATGATAAAAACTGGGACCTTTAAGACAGGCTCAAATGTCTCTTTCCTTCAATATCTCTGTACTTTATAGCACTGAACCAGCAGACACTCAGGGAAATTGAAGATCTGTTTTGTTGTTCTTCCTTTATTGTTTGTTTGCTTATTTGGATGAAAATTTCAATACATACTATTCTATCAAATGTTAAGCATTACACTATCCTTGTGCTCATATTTAAGAAGACAGTTCAGACCTCAAGCTCACTTGAGTCACACAGTGGCCTTGAACTTGGTGCTCCTCCTGCCTCTCCCTCCTGAATACCTGGATTGCTGATTGTAAGAGCCACCATATTCAGCTAGGCTTGGATTTGTTTGTTTTTGTTTTGTTTTTTTGTTTTGTTTTGTTTTTTGTTTTTTTCGAGTTAGGGTTTCTCTGTGTAGTTTTGCGCCTTTCCTGGATCTCGATCTGTAGACCAGGCTGGCCTCGAACTCACAGAGATTCACCTGCCTCTGCCTCCAGAGTGCTGGGATTAAAGGCGTGTGCCACCACCGCCCGGCTGTTTTGTTTTTTTAAGACAGTGTCTGTGTAGCCCTGGATGTCCTGGACCTCACTCTGTAGACCAGGCTGGCCTCAAACTCACAGATATCCACCTGCCTCTGCCTCCCCGAGTGCTAGGATTAAAGGTGTGTGCCACCAATGCCAGGCTAAGCTTGGATTTTAAATGTAAATAAAACAAAAACAAAGAGTGATGTTTGCTAACTTCAATGTTCAATTGTTCACAATAGCACCATAGGTTAAAACCAAAGCCGAGACCAGTGATCTGGCATTTGGGAAAATGTAGAAAACGTTTCCTCATCAGCAAACAGACCCTTGCAGAAGCCAATCTGTACCTTCAAATTTTGTACTTAAAAACTCAAGCATATTATTTCCAAACATGGACAAACAGGTAAAATAAACATGTTTACAATAGAACATTTTAATGATCGAGTCCAGATAGTTCTATGCATACTTGTTAAATATGCTATCTTTCATAGACATCTCAGAATGGCCATTACTGAAATCTCAGTAAGGACAAGCATTTGAAACTGTGTCAAATCCAGTTCAAGTATAAATAAGGACGTTAAGTTCCTATGCCTGCTGTGGTACCATCTGAGACCCAGACAAGGCTTTCTCTAGAACTAATTCTGGGCTATAACTAATGTGCCTCATGCAGGCCCTTTTCTTCCTCTGAGACAGGGTATTGCTATGCAACACAAGCCGGCCTCAGATTTACCATAATCCTGCCTTGGCCCTGTAGGAGCACAGGTAC